CAGATATCTTCACCAAAGGTCTTCATCATGTGTGGCACAATGATTTGTGTGACAAGTTGGGCATGATTGACATCTATGCTCCAACTTGAGGGGGAGTGTTGAAATAATTTAGTTATTTGTGTTAGGGTCAGTTTGGCTAGTTAAAGCATTTTTTATTTTCTGTTATTTCTGTTATTGTACTCACTTACAGCAGGGACACAAGAGTCTTTTCCCTTCTTATTTTTGCCGCCCTATATAATATAATAGAAGCTGGCGCCGCCAGTACCGTTCCATTGCTCCAAACCTTTTTCTTCTTCCTTTCTTTCTTCTTCCTTTCTCTCTTCTTCCCTTCTCTTCTCTACTTCCTCATATTTCAATCGGATTTATTGCCAAGATATATAATGTTAGAATTACAAAAATATGAATTGCTATAATAGTATATACTTTTCAATAAACATGTTTAGTATTTTCTCATCTTACCAAGTCAGAGCTGTGTCTATGTCCATGCAACAGCAGAGATGCTTAGAAATTATACTTCTAACAATCCAGAAAGTTTCATTAACAAATCTCATGTTATAAGTAATTTTTCTTTCTATCCTTAGACTTCCATCTACCCTAGAGAAATTTGCATAATGGCTCCTATTTCTGCAAAGTGAGATGTCCAGAGATATTAAAACTATGAAGCATGGAAATATCTTCAGTTCATTTTCACAATCTAAATCAACAATTGATACAGGAAGTTTAGAAGCTTCTTTTTTAAGTTTTACCCGCAGCTGAATTCCAGATAAAGATGCCAACTTTTCCACTTCCCGGTATCCAACCCATGAACCATCTGGATGTTTCAAATTGAATGTCACTGTAGGTCCAAATTTATGTTTTGGTACCTTAACAAAAAAATCAAGATATTCAGATCAAAGAACTATATAAGAAAAATTAGTAACAACAAACAGCATATAGAAAACTGGAGCAAAGCAATCACTGGAAAGATACATTTCTTCAATATATTCAAAATCATTAAAAAAGCAGAAATAATACTCAGAGTTCTAAAGTGAACAGACTACAGGTTGAGGTAACAACTAACAAGGAAACATACATATATTGGAATTCCATTAATCATGCATTTACATGGAGCATCATGGAAGAAATGAAACAAGATGATTTTCAATGATAGAGAAATCAAAGAAAAGTTCTACAGGGCAGTGCCCTGAAGTTTATTCTCAGTTCATGAATTATACCATAATGGAATCCAAAGGAATATCCCATGTCACATTTTTCAGGAACCTCTCTATGAATTTATAGGCATCACCAAGTTACCCACACCTGTTAGAAAAAGCGATCTGTTACAAGTAGAAGGGGCTATAAGAGCTAGGGGAAGACTGAAATGATCTTGAGTGGCAGTAATAAGAAATGATTTAAGTGCCCACAGCTTTACAATGGATACGGCTATACTTGGAAAGTAATAAGATAATTATTCTTGGGAATTGGAATGATTCTGATCATAAGACTATAGTGGTCACTTTGTCACTGCTATTGGCTCTAGCCTATTAGTTTGATGTAATTGGTCTATGACCACAAGAAAAGGCCTTTGGGATCATCAAGAAGAGAATAACAAGAGAGTGACTTCAGGTTCATGAGAGATCTAAGGGGTTTTCAAAACATTGTAGTTCTTGAATTTATTAAAGCTTCTTGATGAGGTTTTCCTTAATTACTCAAAACCAGGTAACAGAATTTGTATTTTAAGAACCTCAAAAATTTCTTATGTGCATCCTTCTTTGAAGTTTTATCATCTTCCTTAATTCCTGTGTAGGCTTTCTCAGTCAAGGATTGTGGATTGGGCCAGTACCACCAAATATTAGGGCCTTCTTTTGAAACACATTCCACTTGAAATAAACATGCCAAACCCTCTAGAAAAGACTTTTTCGGTGCTTGTCACCACGTTCTCTTTGTTTCGTAAGTGAGATAATTATCTTTCACCTATTAATCTCCTACTAACTAGTTTCAAGTATTTGAGAATCGGTCCTTTTATTTGGTTGTAGGTGGGACACACCAGAAGATGTGGGAAGGCTCTTCAAGCCATCCTTCTTTACCTTGCCAATGAAGATGGAAAAAATTACATGGAGAAGACCAGATGTACAAGGGAAGTGGTACTATAGGTGATTTGGGAAGAGAGAAATTCAAGAATATTTAATAGGAAGACATGATCAAAGCAAGACATTTTGTAAACCATTACAATCAAAATGGTGCATGGGATCAAAACTAATTAACTCTTGATTCCTTTATCCACTGAAAATATCCTAAGAGGCTAGCAGTGCATGGCATCCGTATCCACAACAGGACCTTTTCCTTTAGGGTGGTAGAGTTTGCATCACATAACCAAATCCAATTAAACTTGGTCGGATGTCGTATGTACAACCCTGGAATATCAGGTGTGTCAGCAATTCCACTAGAGAACAAGTTTTGCAGTCCTATGCAGTTTAAGATTTAGGTAGAACACATAATATTAGGAATCTAATGGTGGAGGGGGACTCTAAAGTGATAGTGGAGTAGCTGAGGAAAGTTAATCAAAGCTCGTGGAGATACAGAAATACTATGAGAAATAAGAGAGTTGAAATGGGAACTTGGTCACTAATTCATGTGTAAATAGACTAGCAATTTCAATGGCAAATGCATTGGCCAAACATGGGGTAAATAAATAGGGCTTAAAGTATGAATGAGAAGAAAAGAAAAGAGAAACAGTAGAGAAAAGACAAGGTTTTAAGGCAATCAAAATCATATGGCAGTGGCCACTGGTCTTATATATTAGGGTGTCATAATATAAAGTAAAATGACAAGTATACCTTTCGTTACACTAAGAGTACAATGTATTACAGATAACACTCTCCAATGCTTTGGGGTTTACTACAACCTACAGCAGAGTTTGCTTACAACAGACTAATTAACAAATATATATGAAGGAAACCATTTAAAGTAATTGGAAATGGAGAGTGAAGGAGGAAGAGTAGAAAGGAGGAGTAGGGGGAGGAGGAAGAAGAAGAAGAAGAAGAAGAAGATACCCAGAAAGAGTTTTGGGAGAATAGGGTACCCCGAAAGATTACATTTAACATAATACTGAATAAAATTACATATATGCCCCTGAATGGGCACCCAAATATAAATAAAAAGGAAAAGACAATTATGCCCCTGCTCAGAATACATAATCTCAACACTCCTCCTCAAGCTGAGCATAGATATCTATCATGCCCAGCTTTCCTAGGTTTCTAGCTTTAACTTGTGGAGACCCTTCGTAAGAAAATTAGCAAGTTGATCTTTTGACTTGACAAAAGGCACACATATTTCTCCACTGGTTATCCTTTCTCTAATGAAATGTTTGTCAACCTCAATGTGTGTAGTCCGGTCATGCTGGACTGGATTATGGGCAATATTTATAGCAACTTGGTTATCACAATATAGTCTTATTGGAACTTCAGCTTAAATTCCAATCTCATATAACAAGGTCTTCAGCCACATTAATTTTGATAATGCCATGAGCCATATCTCTGCATTCTGCTTCAATACTAGATTAAGCTACAACTGATTGCTTTTTATTGCTCCAAGATACAGCATTACCTCCCACCAATGCACAATAACTAGAGGTGGATCTCCTATCATCCACAAAACCTACACAATCAGCATCATTATAAGCCTCAACCTTGAGATGCTCATGGTTGGAGTACAACATTACTTTGCCTAGGCACCAGTGTTTTAAAAGGCGTGGGAAGCATACGCCTGGAGGCATGCCTCTAGGCAAGGCATCACCAAAACCCCCTATTGTGTATGCTAGAGGCAGTGACAACTTTGAGGTGTAAGCCTCAGGTGCAAGAGGCGTATGCCTCATACGCTTTTTTCATTAGGCATGTTAGAGGCGTACGCCTCATGTGCCTCGCGCACACCTCATATAAAAAGGCAGAAAAAAGAAAGAAAAAAAGTAAAAAAAGAAGGAAAGGAATAGAAAACAAAAGGAAGGGAAAGAATCATAAGTTGAAAGACCCCCCCCCCTTTCAACTAGTGCTATACATCTACATTCTTCTTAATATAAGTGATTTTTATTAAAATTAAAGAAAAATGAGATCCTCCTCCCTCCTAATCCCCCTCCCTCTTATGGAGGCTTAGCCTTTTACGTTCTGGACTATGCCCCATGCCTCTAGGTAGTGGAACGCCCCGTGTTATGCCTCTGCATTTTAAAACATTACTAGGCACCCCTTTAAATAGGCAAGGATCCTATTGACTGCCTACATATGTGAAGTTCTAGGGTTATGCATATACTGACTCACCACAGTTAACGGCATAGGATATATCAGGCTTGGTCAAGCACAAGTAGAAAAGCCTACCAACTAATCTCTAGTAAACACCCTTGTTTATAAGAATGTCTCCATCATCAACACCTAGTTTATGATTGGAATCAATGGGAGTTTCAACTAGCTTGTACCCTGTAGAGAAGATGGGCCGAATGGCCCATAGGCTATTTATTCTTTCTTGTTATTTATGTTTTTCTGTAATGGGCCTTATTCTGGGCCCATCCTGTCTATATTATGTTCTTTGTAAATTCTTGCCCAACTAAGGGCCTCCTTGTAATTATTCAAATCTATCTTAATAAATTAGTGTTAGGGTGCTGAGAGAGAGTTAGGTTCGAAACTCTCATTCTCAGACCCTCATTGCCGAACTCTCAATCTCTCCTCTCTTTTGTTTTCTTCATACCCCAACTTACCAACCTCATGAAGGAGGTCAAGCACATAGTTTCTTTGAGATGAAGATCTTTTCCTTTGATCTTGCCACTTTAATTCTAAGAAAGTATATCAGACTCCCAAGATCTCTGATCTCAAATTCAAAAGAAAGAAATGACTTTAGTTGGGCAATTCTAAAGTTATCACTAGTGACAACAAAATCATCAACATATATTATCAGCAAAGTCACTAGGCCATTGACCCTTTTCATAAAAAGAGTATGATCTACCTATGGTTGAGTAAACCCAATTTTAAGAACAACCTTTTTGAATCTGTGAAACCAAGCTCTAGGGGACTGCTTAAGCACATAAAGGGATTTCTTCATATGGCAGACCTTCCCCTCACTAATCACTATCAGGGAGACTTACTCCTAGGAGAAGGTTTCCTGATTGTCAATCCCCTGTTAGATTTGCATATTTCAATTAAGTCGATCATTAACTGTACTCACCCACTTGCAACCCACTAGGACCATACCCTTAAGAAGGGGAACAATCTCCTTGGTTTGGTTCTTCATGAGATCCTCCATCTCTTGGTCCATAGCATCCTTCCACTGAGGAGACTACACAGCATTTGTAACATTATAAGAAAAAAAAACAAAGGAAATGGCATAAATATAGGCATAGTAACAAGGTGAAGGGCATCATAACTCATAAGAAACATAGTTATTGATAGGAATAGGTACTGCATTTCCTTTTTCCTTGTTTTCCCATCACTAAATCCAAGTCTAGAAGGGTCCCCCTACTCAGAATGTTAGACTTGATTATTCTCATATTCAATTCTCATGAGAAACCAAATCACTTTCCATTTCTCAAAGTATTTTGAAGATACTTAACACACTTACACACTCAAAAGAACCCGAAGGGTCTGTGTACTAACCCATATTCAGCCTACAAGTCTAGAAATCCAACACAATATTCCTATATTTTCCTGTCCCCCTGACAATATGCAAATATTTCAAATTCGATTTGGTATTGTCTACACATGTTAAAATAATAATAAACCTTCCTTAGATAAGCATACATATCATAAGCAGTTCTCATTCTCATAGGTTCAACAATATGAGTTTCTATAGAACTTAGAATCCAAGAAACCAGCTTCCCATTATCAAGCTTCTACTACTGAAAAGCCTTTGCTTCAGCCTCATCAAATTTAGTGACTTTACATATCTTCCAGACCTTTTCCCTTGTCAAAGAAATCAAAATGGAACTTCCATGTGTTGTAGTTATTTACATCAAACAGTTGTCAAGTGTAGGAAGAGGAAGGAGAAGAAGAGTTACGGGAGAGAATATGGTGTTACTGTTCACACCCAGAATATTCCATTATATGTTAAATCTGAAATTATAGCCATGTACCTATAAGGGTGCCCAAATACAAAAAATAAGATAAGACAACAATACCCCTAAAGCCAAATATACATTCTCAACACTCCCCCTCAAGCTGAGCATAGATATCTATCATGCCCAGCTTGCTCAAGTTTCTATCAAGTTTTGGCTTGTTGAGACCCTTAGTGAGGCAATCAGCAGGTTGGTTCTCCGAGTGAACAAAAGGCACACATATCTCTCCATTAGCTATCTTTTCTCTAATAAGGTGTCTGTCAACTTCAATATTCTTCGTGTGGTCATGTTGAACAGGGTTATGAGCAATGTTTATGGCAGCATGATTATCACAGTGTAGCATCATTGGGGTTTCAGCTTGGATCCCAATTTCTAATAACAAAGACTTCAACCATAGCAACTCCAATACACCATGAGCCATAGCTCTATATTCAGCTTCAGCACTAGATCGGGCAATAACAAATTGGTTTTTGCTTTTCCAAGACACAACATTACCTCCTACCAAGGTGCAGTAACCGGAAGTGAATTGACACAACATTACCTCACGAGTCGAGCTCTAGTAGGCTCGAGCTCGGCTCGTTTAATAATCGAGCCAGTGAATTGAGCTCAAGCTCGGTTGAAAAAGAACCGAGCCGAGCTCGAGCAGCAAGTGAAAAGCTCGGCTCGTTGCCACCCCTAACAATGGCACACTCTCTACTCGGATTGATCCTAGGAATTAAAACCTTTTGCAAACATTTTCATAAAACGTTAATATATATCATAAATACATTTTGCAAAATCAAATTTCAAAATACTGTTGAACTTCACTGCTGGCAGTTTAGGTTTCCATCAAAGAGAGTGTAATCCCTATCATTCACTTTGTTTAACAAAAGGGCCGATCCTATCACTATGATCACCCACTCAGATGAATTCTCAGACTGCCCCAACATACCCAAGTTTTGACCCTTGATGGATTTCACTAATTGGCATATCAAAGACAACCCAATCCAACACTTAGTGCAGAACCATAAGCAAGTCTAAGGGTTATGTGTAATTTTCCAAGTTTTTCCATCAATCTCCAAGGCCCAAGGCATTACTAGAAAATGGTCTGTGTTCAATGTTTCATCCAAACACACACTACATGTGCTTTGGGTCTAACCCTAGCAGCTGAGACAAGCTACCCCAACTTCTTTGGTAGCACATCAGTGTCAACCTTGGTAAGATAAACTCCCCAAGTCTATCCAACGACTAAGAACATTCTAAACTAATACGAGTCTCATAAGTGTCCAGTTTGAGGGGTAATTACACAGAAATATACCAATATCAATATGAAACAATAAGGTACTTTTATTCATTTACAATAAATGTATATGTACATCAATATGATTGGATTTAAGGGCATACACTATCTAACCAATAATAGAACTTGCTTTAGGGAAAATAGACACCCTTATATGTCCAGCTTTCAGTTGAAATGCAGACCTTTGCACCATGCATTCCATAAAGTATACAAACAGAAGCGCCATTTTCATGCCTCAAAGCTAAAAGCATATTCCGCACAAAAGTTGCAAGAGATGATGTGTGCCTTGAAAAAACATTGAATATTGTATGTCAGGCCTTCATGGTTCTGATCAATGTTCAAAACAACTTAGCTCCATAGATGGGAATATAAGTTCTTATTCAGATAAGAGAAATGGTTAAACCAAATGAGAAAGATATTCACTGCTTCTTACCATGTCAACTCAAAAACATATACATTATGCAGTGGACAATTAAATAAGCACAACAAAGGAAATCTGGTGAAGAGATGAACTAGAGATAATACCAATGAAATAAAGTAACAGTCTAAGCAATCTCAAGGCCATTGCCTAGATATTTTTATAACACCAACATCCAATCACATACACTGCCATAAGCAAGAAGGCACCGATATGGTTTGAAAGATGATGTTAATGCCCAAAACTGAAGTTATGGGATATCAAAGCGATCAAGATGCCTCTTTTTAAGTAACTAAAAAATTTTATTAATGAATAGAAGCTTGTATGTTTTTTCAAGAAATTAAAATAATTATTAATAAGGTTATATTTGAAATACAAAGAAAGGCTAAGACCAAACCATATACTGCCCTCTACACCTAAAACAGTCAAACACTCACCAAGTTACAGACCAAACCTCTTCTTCTAAAGTTCTTGGGATCATTTAGAAAAGAGTGCATTCCATAATAAAACTGCTTATGCTGATGTGCATATGAATCACTGCCCTTTTTCTTGATGAATAACAGGAAATTCAATTAAAGAAAATTAATAATATGCATCAGAAAGTGACTCTATACAGCTTATTACATAAGTCATTACAAGTCCCAAATATCTCTTCCCCATATATAAAATGGCCCAGAAAATATCTTCAGCTTCATATCTTTTGTGAACCACTTGAACCTTCTATCTCATTTGTATATGTTGAAGATTAATCAGTTTTATGATGTTTTTCTGAGTAGATGTTTTATGTTAGTTGTTAGATAGGAGGTGGGGACCACAGTAGTTATGTGAGTCCAAATTTTATTATTTTTTTGAGTGTTGTATATGTTGTTTTATTTTTGCTGCCCTATAAGGGCATGGTTGTCTTTTACTTTTCTATTATTTTTAGTATAAATAATAAGTGAAGGGGGCGGCCAGATCATTGCTCTCTTTTCTTTCCAATTTCACTTCTTCTCCTCTCTTCAAGAAACTACTTTTCTTTCATATTTTTTTTTTTAATTCAGCAAATTTCTACTTGGTATCAGAGCATTGGCTAGGGTTTCTTGAAGCATTCTCATGCAGCCCTAGATCAGCCGATTGCATGAAGTAGTAAAGGGCTGATCGATCTGCTATAGATTGCCCAGGTCTTGGATTTTTTGGTGGGATCTAGTCATCAAGAAGGTGATCTACTGTTCAGCATCAAAATCAGGAAGAACTGGAGTACGGGGAAGAGTCCCAGAAAAGTTGGACTCTTTGTTTTTTATCTAATCTTGGGCGCCCAGGTATTGTTAGTTTTCTTTTGATTTTCTGAAGAGGCCAGTTTGGTTTCTGCAATTTTCTGGGCCTCCCGGAGTGGTCGATTCACTTTTCTCTCTGTTGGGAGGCGTGGGGAGGAGAGAGATTTCCCCCCAAGTAGGGTTTTCTTCTTCCGGAAGGGTTGGTTTTTGTGTGTGTGATATTAAATTGTTTTTTGGTCTCCAATCTATTTTTTCTTACTATTGAACTGTTTGAAGTAAGTTGGAGAGTTGGAATACCGAGATGAAATCTACCAGTACTGTGGGACTGGGTGTTGGAGGTAGTAGTGATATTTTTGGGTCTGGGATTATTACTACAATAAAACTTGATGGTACAAAATATTTGGAGTGGGCACAATCAACTAAGATGGCTATTGGTGCCTATGGAAAATTAGGGTATCTCACTGGGTAGGAGAAGAAACTTGATACACACTCTTCCCGATGGGTGCAGGAGAATTACATGGTAATGTCCTGGCTGTGTAATTCTATGTTACCTCATATTGCAAAAAATTTCCTATGGGCTAATACTGCTAAGGAAATTTGGGATGGGGGACTGAAACCTACTCTCAGAAGCAAAATGAAGCCAGAGCCTATCAGTTAGAAATCAGGTGATAAGTATGAAACTGGGAGAAAAACCTCTTGCTGCGTATTTCTCCATGCTGAAAATCCTATGGAAGGAAATAGATCACTTAGAAACTGTGGTATGGGAAGGTGTAAATGATGCAGCAACTTATCACAGACTGGTAGAGTGTGACACTCTCTCAGGCTGTCTTAGCATTACATTCCTCCTACTCTCCTCTCCAGAGACAAAGGCAAAGGCCTGAGAGAGTGTCACACCCTCCCTAAGACAGCCTGGGATTGACCAGTCGGCTATGGTTGGTACAACATAACCTAAGCCGAATGGAGACAGGGGGAGTAGTGAGACTAGAAGGGAAGATAAGGACTTGGTGTGTGATTAGTTAGGTGTTGACCCTATGGTCAAATAGCTTTCCAATCTATCAAAAACCCTTCAATTCTACTCTTTCCATATAAAACACAGGTTGCATATATTGGACAAATAATGGGACCATAGCGAATCAGTTAAATATGGAGTTTTTTTTTTTAATTTTTATGTATTTTCTATAAATAGAGAAGGCAATGTTATTTGTTACAAAGGTAAAAATATGATAGTAAGAGTATTTTTTTATTTTAGAAATTTTGAGGGTTCGACCATAGGGTCTAACTTTTCATTATATAGTTGGTATATGTTTGAAGTTATCAAAGTCAATGAATAAGCAGTATAAGAGTTATTGAGTCAATGAAAATAGGGATGTGGAAATTCTGTAATTTGTTGTTTCTACCTCTTAGGCTGTGTTTAGTTTGAAGGAAAAGGTAGGGAAAGGTAGGAAAGCCCATACAAACCTTCTATGGGTTTCCCTAACTTTCCCTACTGTTTCCCTCAAACCAGACTCAGCCTAAGGAATTTCTTTTTACAGAAAATGTAAAAATATTTTAAAATAAGAGAAAAAGAGTAAATTGGGAGGGCTCTCTCTTACTTTAAAATATTTTTACATTTTCTATAAAAAAAATCTAAGAGTAAAGAGGAAATTGCAGCCCAAGCAAAACAGAGAGCCCTCCCAATTTACAAATATGTACCAAATTCTCCCACCTCTTCAAAAAAACAAAATCACAAAAACCATCATAGCTACAACCAAGAAGCGCCTACATGGCAATCCCTACATGAAATTCAATCCTGCATTCAAGCATCATATTGCCAACCAAGGACAATCGCCACCCAAAGGCAATCTCAGCCTCACCACAAAACAAAAAGTAATAACTGTGGCAATTGTATCCTGTCCTTTTACCCCTCCCTCTTCCCCTATCATTTCTCAACTTTCGTTTTTATCCATGGAGGACACCTCATGTCACTTAGTGCTTTCCTTGCCCTTTTTCTTTTGACCTTGACACCTTCTTAGTAGGAAATTTTTGATGAATTTCTCACAAAACATAATTCATCCAATTAGACTAGTAATTAGGTTTTTTTAGCATTTGGGTAAATTCCATTCAGGTTATCACATAGTTCTACCCTAATTGCAAATTTTCTATTTTAATATTTTGGTATACATTTTTTTTCTTTTTGGTTTTCCTTGGTGAAAATAAAATTCATTAAAAAAAGAAGAGGAATACAAGAAAGGTAACCAAAGATCACCTAAGAGAAAAAAGAAAAAGCTTCAAACCCCACTCATAACTCCAAACTATAATAACCCAACAAGCCAAGGATGAAACACCAAACCCACCAACCTTGATCTGGATTAACAAAACTTCCCTAACTACAAACACTACAAGATCAAACTCTAAAAGATAGAAACAAAACAAAAAACCAACCAAATACAAGCCAAGTCACACCCATGTTGAATCAACCATGATTCGAGGCTCTTTTTCTTCTTTAGAACTTTGCTGGTTTTCATCACCCTCTTGCTTGGCCTGATTCCAAACGGACCACCTCTTAATCTATCAAAAACTTTGACACCAAAATATTTTGGTGCCTTCAATGATTTTTAAATCTTCTAACTGCATGATTAATCTTTCTAAGTTCCAACAAATCCTTGGAACTCCTCATTGATCCTTTCCAATTCAACTCTGAATCTTCAAACAACTGATCTGCTCCCATCTCTTCATTCTTAGCACTGTAACTCCCTAGGCATCCACATGAACTCTGAGAAACATGTCTATCATCATCTCTTGAACCATTTTCTTCAGATCCTGAATTATTTTCCCCAACAAGCATTGGATATCTCTCTTTCATTTTTTTGAACATCTTTGTAGCAAAATCCTCTCCCCTAAAACTGATAAACCTAAAGCATTGCTCACCTCTACATCTATCTTCACAACCTTTTCCAAACCAACTGACTTTTCAATTACATGAGTTTCATCCTTTGTGATCTCATCTTCACTTAAGCTACCTTCCTCTTTTTCCTCCCCATCACCATTTGTATTTTCAACATCCTTCTACAAAGGTATTGTTCGATATTTTCTTTTACTTTTATATGATGCTTGGACCACAATCAAGCTTGTAGAGAAGATGGGCCGAATGGCCCATAAGTTGTTTATTCTTTCATGTTATTTATGTTTTTTTTCTGTAATGGGCCTTATTCTGGGCCCATCCTGTCTATATTAAGTTCTTTGTAAATTCTTGCCCAACTAAGGGCCTCCTTGTAATTATTCAA